TGAGGAAAAAAAAAGGAGGAAAAAAAAAAAAGGAGAAAAAAAAAGAAAAGGAGGAAAAAAAAAAAAGAAAAGGAGGAAAAAAAAAGAAAAGGAGGAAAAAAAAAAGAAAAGGAGGAAAAAAAAAGGAGGAGAAAAAAAAAAAGTAAGACGGCGTTTTTCTCTCGCTTTCTTTGTCTGGAGCTTTGCCTGCAGGAGTTGAGAGCGTGAGGGGGCACCGGGGGAACGCTCAGCCCGCGGTGGGATCGGAGCTGGAGCACCTGAATCCCCCCAGCTCCCGGCTGCCTCACCTGGGCAGCATCCCCGGCAATTCCAGCCCGGAGCATCCCAAAACAATCCCGAGCTGAAAATGTGGGGATTTATGGATTTAATTCTCGTGGCTGTGGCTTGCTGTGGTTCTCTTCTTGTGGAGGTAGCTGGTGAGCTTGGGGAAAAAAAAAAAAAATGAAATTTGCTTTGTTTTGGGTGAAAATAATCCTGAATTGGCCGAAATTCATCGCCGTATGAATATTTCTGAGTTGCGCGGGTATATTCGTGTTACATCCCCATTATTTATGTTGACAGAGAATTACATGCAACACATGCTAAGGCAGTTATCAGCTAATTACACGCCAGCTCATTAACTGTCGGATTCCAGGCTTGGAACGGGTGTTCCTGTGGACGAATTGAAGTTTTTTTTTTGTGTCCCCCCCAAAGCGAAGCGGGGGCTCTGTGGGTGTGTGTGTGCAAACACTCGGGCATTGTTTGCAGGGGGAATCAACCCCACCGAGCCTCCGCCTGGTGCGGGAGGAGCGCTTGGGTTTCCGAAGGGCACGGAGAGGATCTGGAGCTGCCTGGATCTCCCTGGATCTCCCTGGATCTCCCTGGATCTCCCTGGATCTCCCTGGATCTCCCTGGAGCCTGGAAGGATGCGGCCGGCAGGGCTGGGGGTGCTGCTGGAGCCTCATCCCAGCCATTCCAACCTCCGGCTGCAAACTTGCGGCTCCAAACCCCGAGAGGAGGAAAGAGGGAGAGGGAGAGGGGGGAAAAGGGAGAGGGAGAGGGGGGAAAAGGGAGAGGGAGGCTCTCCAGGTCCTCTCCGATGAGGTAATCCCAAAGAAAGATAAGGGAAGCGGTGCGTGTACCAACCTGAGCGCTGATGTCAGCCGGGGAAAAGCAGATTAAGGATTCGGGGAGAGGAATTGCAGCGATTTTGGCGTCACCTGCTCGCCGCTGTTAATTCAGGTGTGTTGTGGTACCGGCTCGAGGGTCCCGAGGGGGGTCCGGGCAGCCCGGATGGTCCCGCCGGGGTTTGGGGGATGCTCGGGGGGCTCTGTGTGTGCTGCGGTGTTTTCACGTGTCTGGAGTCAGGAAAATGAGGATTTTTCCCTGCCAGAAGCTTCAGTGCCACTGAGGAGAGGGGAGGAAGAGCCCAGCCCTGGGCCCCGCTCCGCTGAGCGGGCTGGGGGTGCCCAGAGGGGCTCAAACCGTGTCCCCTCCCCATGGTCTGTGTGTCCCCTCCCGGGGTCTGTGTGTCCCCTCCGGTGTCTGTGTGTCCCCTCCCGGGGTCTGTGTGTCCCCTCCGGTGTCTGTGTGTCCCCTCCCGGGGTCTGTGTGTCCCCTCCGGGGGTCTGTGTGTCCCCTCCCATGGTCTGTGTGTCCCCTCCCGGGGTCTGTGTGTCCCCAGGGAGTGGTGGCAGAGCGGCAGCAGCGATGTGTGGGAGCAGGGCTGGCTCCAGGCAGGGGGAGCAGGCTCAGGGACAGGTTTGGGACACTCAGAGCACCTCTGGGTGTCCCCGTGGGGCTGGGACCCCTGCGGGGGTGGCTGTCCCTTGGTGGGGGACAGCTCCGGGCTGGCTCCGGGTGATCCCTGCTGCTGCTGGAGGTGCCACCCTGTGTCACCTCTCGGGATGGATCTGGGAGCAGGGAACAACAGGGAATAATGAAGAATTTCAGGGAATTTCAGGGAATTTCAGGGAATTTCAGGGAATTTCAGGGAATTTCAGGGAATTTCAGGGAATTTCAAAGCTGGCAGCGGCCAATATCCCCCATCTGCCTCCCCTTGGACCTGGCTCCGAGGATGCCCCCGGCACTGCAGCTGCTCCGGGCTGCTCCTGCTCCCTCTCCCGGGGCTGATCCCTGCGCTGTCTCTCATTCCAGTCCCACATTTCCTACACACAGCCCCTGCCTGTTGTACCAGGGACGGTCCTGGGGTGAGGACCTGGCTGTCAGGTCCCTCCCCGGCCCCAGCGTGGCCCTGAAACCCCAAACCCAGAGCAAACTTGGTGCCCTGACAGGGATTCCCAAACCCTGGGAGAGGCTGAGTGAGGCTGAGCCCCTTCAGCTGTCCAAGAAATCTTCTGGAGCTTCTTTTTTTCCATGGGAAATGTTCCTGTAAAGCCAGAAAGTCTGGGAATGGTGACTTGGAGAAGGAGGGAAAGGCCGGGGAGTGACATTGTTACAATGACAAATATTCCCTAAATGCCCAGGAACTGCCCCCCAGGCCTGCCCTGGAGGACTCAGCCCTGAAGGCTGATGTGGGAGGAGGGTTGAGATATTTTCTTCCCAAGTTTGAGCCTGGGGTGATGTCCCTGGAGTTCCTGGGCTCACCTGAGATGGGCTGAGCCCACGGAAGGACCCTGAGGGAGCTGAAGTGGCCCCTGGAGCTGAGGGTTTTATTCTCCCTTCTCCTTTCACCCCTGGACAAAGCATTCCCATAGCCCCAAGGGGCTCTTTCCTCACCTTCCCCATCTGATTCCTCCGTCTCTTTGTTCCTCTGGTCACTCCTGGCCACTGAACCGGCCCCTTCAGCCCATCTCCCTCCTGTCCCAGCTGGAGTTCCTGCAGTTCTGAGGGAGCAGGGACTCCTCACCAGGATCCAGCTCCTGCACTGCCCAGGGCGGCTCAGCTGCAGCTCCATGTCCCTGCCAGGACCTGCCCACTGACCCCTGACCCCTGCCAGGACCAGCCCACTAACCCCTGATCCCTGATCCCTGCCAGGACCTGCCCACTGACCCCTGCCAGGACCAATCCACTGACCCCTGATCCCTGCCAGGACCTGTCCACTGACCCCTGACCCCTGCCAGGACCAGTCCCCAACCCCTGATCCCTGCCAGGACCAGCCCACTGACCCCTGCCAGGACCAGCCCACTGACCCCTGCCAGGACCAGCCCACTGACCCCTGCCAGGACTAGACCATCAATCCCCCGTCCCTGCCCGATCCAGACCATTGATCCTGATCCAGACCATTGATCCCCATCCCTGCCTGATCCAAACCATCAATTCCCCCATCCCTGCCTGATCCAGACCATTGATCCTGATCCAGATCATTGATCCTGATCCAAACCATCAATCCCCCATCCCTGCCTGATCCAGATCATTGATCCCCATCCCTGCCCGATCCAAACCATCCCTCACCGGCCCTGCAGCTGCTCTGGCAAATCGAGACCAATCCCCCCCTCCCCGGCTCCTGCGGCGTCTCCTGCCTCGCAGCCCAGACTTAATTACAGCGAGAACTGAGCAATGTGTGACCGGGAATGTGCTAAAAGGCCCGGGAGGATCTTGTTAGTGAGGACCTTCCCTGGATTCCCGAGCTGCTGCCGCCCTCTCCTAATGGGATCCGTGGAAAAATGGATGGAGTGAGCAGGAACAGACCTGGGTCGTTATCTCGTCCCTTCTCTCTCTGCCTCTCCCATCCTTTATTTCCCATGGAAATAAATCGGGGGGAGCTGGGGCTCTGCAAAGGGCAGTGAGGCTGAGCAGAAGGATTTGGGATTTGGGCTGTGACCTGGGGTTCACAAGTCATGATTTTGGGATGCTGGGTCATTTCCCTGCTCAAGGATGGACTTGCTGGTTTGCAGAGCGAACAGAAATGAATTTACCCCGAGTTTTCCCAGCAAGATGAGAAATGAGATGGTTTAGGGCTGGAGGATATTTTTTTTTCTCTTGGTACAAAGGAAAACCTTTTCATCTAAAATAAGTCCTGTGGGGAAGAGGGAAGGAGGGCTGCGAGTGGCGAGCTGCTCCAGATGGAAAAGTGGGAAGGAGAGGTTGCAGCTCCTCCAGGCTGGTTTTGTCCCTGAAGCTGAGTGGGACAAACGAACTGGAGATGTGAAATGTCCCTGCTGGCTCAAACTTGTCCTGGAGGAACATTTCCACAACCTCAGGCTCCATGGAAAAGCCGCTCCTGTGGGGCTGCCTGGTGTGGGGACAGCGCTGTCCCCCTCAGCACCTCAATTCCTGCTGCAGGGAAAGCCTGGAATTCCCTCTGGAGAAGGAAAACACCTCCTGGGCTGGAGGGAGCAGCATCTGAGCTCCTGGAGGGAGGTGGGCAGGAACATCCCGATGGGAATGAGGTGCTGAAGTAGCCAGGATTGAATGATTTCTTTTCCCTCCTCCAAAGAAACCAGAGCAGCTTCCGTGCTCTGGAAGGAGCCAGGTTTTGTGTGCACACCTGGAAAATCAGGAGAGGTTTGGCCCTTCCCAAAGCGGATTTTCCGTGGCTGCACCCCGGGGAAGGGAGCTGGGCCCTGCCTGCGATGCTGCCATGGCTGAAAACAGGGATTTATGGAGCGCATTTCCCTGGAATTCTCCCATAAAGGTGTTGGAGACTCGGCGGTGTCACCCTCAGCTCCGCAGGGAAGCAGGGGGAACTCTGCTCTCCTGAGTTTCGCAGGATCTGAGGGGCTCCTCAGCTTCCCCCTTTTTATTCCTGGAAGATTTATCAGGAATTCTGCAAAGATTCAGGCAGCTCACAGTGGGAAATCAGGTGGTGATGAGAAAGCTGATTAAAATCCATAAATAACCCCGGAATCGCCCCATCCACGGGATGTACAAACAACAACCTCTGCACCTCCAGCTGCACCGCAAATGTTCCAGAGCCTCCCTTTTCCCATGGGAGATGTTCAAAAAGTTCAGGCATAAGGACTTGGAGAAGCAGGGAAAGGCTGGGAAATGACATTATTACAATGCCAAATATTCCCTAAATCCCCAATTCGTGATCCAGGGCGCCTCGGAAATGTGATTAGGAGATTTAATCTGCCCGGGCTGGAGCCGCTTGTCAAAGACAGCTCGAAAACGGATTCTTGCCCAAACTCTGGCTCGAGCTGCTCCCCAAAAATCTGAGCTTTAAAGTTTAAAAATCCACCAGGAATTTGGGGTCTGATGGGGCCCGAGCCAGGCGGGGGCTGGGGGAGCTGCAGCCGATTCCCCCAGAGGCTGATTCCACCTCCTTGGGATGAGACTGGTGTCTGTGGAAGACGGGGTGTTCCAGGCTCTGCTCTGGAGTGTCCGTCCGTCTGTCCGTCCCGGTTCTCTCCCGGGGGTTTTATTTGTGTCCGTCTCTCATTTCGGGGCCGCGTCCCGAGCTCTCCGCACGCCTGGGGAGCGGGCAGGGAGCTGGGAAAAGCGGGAATGAGCCTCGGGAACGGTGCTGGGGAGCCCTCGGCTCCCTGGAGGATCCTCCTGAGCCCTAATTTCGGGTGGCCTCATTTAGAGCCCCCCCTGCTCCCGCTCGAGCCTCTCCGGGTGCTGAGGGATTTCTGCAGGGGGGAACAGGAGCGGCAGGAGGGGCTGAGGTTTCCAAAGGCGCTCGAGTGCTTTTGGGAAGCCGGGATGGCTGTCAGAGCATCCCAAATATCCCCCGGGACTGGAAGAACCAGGATGATCCCCAGGGAGGGAGGCAGGGACCTGCTGAAGGCAGCAAAGCGCTTTTTAAAGCATCGATCCGAGCGCTGAGAGTCTCCAAGGTGCGTTCGCTGCCTCTGCCCGGGATTTCCGGGCGAGTCCCACCGGGAATGCTCTTCCAGGGTTTGTGATGTTCAAGCGTTGGCATTTTTGGGGCAGCCTGGCTGCCTTGAGGGCTGCGGGGGTTTCGTGAGAGTCCCCAAGCTCCCCCCGCGCCGTCCCCACCTGCCCAAACCTCCCCCAAAGCAGCGCCTGGGACCAGGAGCACGGGGGAGGCTTTGAGCGTATCCAAGATACAGCGGATTTGGGCACCCTGTCAAATGTTCTCATTGTCTGACCCTTGTCCAGACGCCAGTAAAACCCTTTGGGAAATTCCCCCTCCGCCCAGCGCACCGGCTTTAATTACAGGAGAGGAATGCGAGGCGCAGAGCGCGGCTCCTCCCGGCCCTGCGCCTCGTGGCTCCCCGAAAGTTTGCGAGGTTCGGGGGTGCAGGGGAAGGGCAGAGCTGGCTGTGACATCCCCCGAGACCCCCGCGGGGGGTTTGTCCCCCTCCCCGGGC